TCTTTTCTTCTTTCAGGCCTAATTTACCTCTGAGATGTTGCCAGCCTCTTTCAACCCAACTACAAAACTACATTCTCCTTCACTTTTCAAAATTGTTCTACAACACTTTTATCCCCTAAAAAACTTCTCATGCCCATTCTTCAGTATGTTCTTTGAAATTTAATAAATTCAGATTTAACAAACTTTATTGAGCATCTACTATGTGCCCAGTACCATGCTAGGCATATCCACGCATAATTACATTTAATCTGTCTTCACCATAAGTCTTCATAGTAACTCTTTGAGGATGTTTTTATTATCACCACTTTACATGGGAGGAAATTCATGGCTTAGTCAGGTTGCAAAGATTTAATTAAAAGAAACTGGATCCCAAACACATCTTCGAGGTCTCTAGTTTTTCCACTGTATAGTATCTGTTGTGATATGTCATGTTACTCTCAACATTTATGTGGATCACACATCATGTAGCGTCCCTCTGTACCAGTTTCTAGTCTAGGTGCTGGATAAGGGCAATAAGAACAACTTCCACATATCAAGGCACTATTATCTAATAAGTCTAGTAAAGTAATGGATTTTTAAAAGGATGACTTAGCATGCCCAAAAGTAATTTTTTTTTACCTTTAAGGCAAATGTAGTTTATCCATTTAAAAAAGTCAGTCAAATTTATTTCTCCTTATCCACATAATAGGCATTTACTATATACATCCTTGTTGGCAGATTTCTTGAGTAAAAGCAGTCAGAACCAAATTATAGAGATGCTGTGATCATTTCAAATTCAGTGCCTGCTAAACCTTGCCAGGAATATGTTGGCCTCTGTGGCTCTGTGGAAGTCTCTGTAACCAGGCAAACATGACATTGCTATGGCATTGTCTCTTGGAACAAAATAAGGCCCTAAGGTCTTTGGGGAGCTGAGGCCACTTTGGACTTCAGATCAAATTGGAGTCTAAAGAAGTCAGCCATAAAGTACATCAGAGGCATAGCATATGTTCATATTTACACTGACACCTGCAAATATAAATATTCGGTTTACACTGTTAGTATTATAGATGAGTAATTGGCTCTTCTGCTAGGGTATCTGTTATCTTTGGAGAGAAGAGTAGAACTTCAACTTTAAATATTTATTTTGGAAAGCAAGATTGACTAATTTTAATAGAGCAAACAACTAAAAGAGAAAGGAAGTAAATCAAGAGGTGGAAAGATTTGTTTCTTTTGGCATGGAGGAAAGCTTGAGTGTGGAAGAGTCTGAGAGAGAACTGAGAAAACATCAATAAGTGTGTAGGAACTGGGTGTAATTATAGCAGAGTGAAAGTACTTTGGTGTCTGAAGATGGAAATCATTATTCAAGCATGAGCACACTTCAACACACGTTGCCAGAGCCATTGTATTGAGATTTGAAGCCTCTATGAAAATTATGCCAGTAGAAAAGGAAGAAGGACGTTTCTGCACAGGTGGAATTTTCATTTTCCTTTGAAGCGAGATTCTCCTGCTTTCCGAGCACTTTTGGCCTAGGCACAAAGTCTTGTGCTGAGCATCAAGAAATGTGAGTTCTAGTATCAAATCACATAGTAACAAGCAGGCTTACTTTAGGAATGTCAAAGAATAATGTAATTACAGCCTTGAAAGAAACTTCAGAGTTTTCTTAATCCATCACTTCATTTTACAGCCACTGAAATGGAGCTGGAAACTGTCTGTGCCTTGGTTTTTCTATTCTGTCAAATATTACTTCTCCTGACTCCGTAATAGAATTGTAGCAAGGGTCAAATAAAATAGATTTGAGAGTGGCTCTCCCCTATGGTTTCTTTCTTCTCTGGATTCCTGTGTATTTACTGTTATCCCTATCATTTTTTTTTTAATTGCTTAGGCTTATTCGTTACACTGCGTTTGTCTATCTTTGCATTACCTTCATTTTGAAGGCAAGGACCTATATGTTAATTATACAGTGTATATTAGGTAAGTAAAGAGCCTGAAACATATTATTTGTTGGGTATATACTAATGGCTGAAATTCACTTTGTGGTTACTATGCACCAGGCACTGGGCTACTGTACACAACAATCCTTAGAAGTGGATAGCAATGATCCTCCTCTTCCATCTAAGGAAACTGAGAACCAGAGAGGTTAAGCAGCTACCCAAAACACAGAATTAAGAAGTAGTGGTGGAAAAACCAGACTCAAATTTCTCTGGCTCAAAAGACCTTATGTTTTCTATTCAAACAGGCTTGATTAAGTTAAAAGTGATTTTGAAATGTTAGACATAATTATGACAACCATTGCATTTCCCCCAGACACCTAGGAGATAAATGCAAGAGAAATCAGGAGGAAGCAAAGGAAGAAAGATCCTTTTGATATTATTGAAACCAACAGTGAGAGAACTGGAAAACTATCATGTGTCTCATACCCCTGAGGATATGGCGCAGGAAATGTCATTTAGCTTTATCTTCTACCCCTTTCCTAAGCTGAGCTACTGTCTATGATATGTTCTCTGGCTCCCCTCTTCATATCCAAAGGAGGCATGAATTCAAAAATATTTAGATCCCTTAAATGTAATCACTGTCCAAATGTCTTCCATGTTATACTCTTCAGATCCTCTTACCTCCTCTCTCTCTTGGGCAGGGCAGTGCAATGGGCTCAGACAGGGGACTGGCTCTCAAGGCTTGATTCCATAATGAGTGGAAAGCTACAAGCCATGCCCTAGGGGAGCACTTGAACCCTGTTCTCTGCAGCTTCTGTGCTTTCACAAGGCACTGGCCACCAAGGATACCTGGCATTAAAAACAGTTTCAGTTTTAGATGGCAATCCTCCAGGAAAAGACTGTGTTTATGCTTTTATGGGGTTTTCCTACAATTTTTAACTCCTTTTTAGCTGCTACTCTTTAAATTACACCTTGTTAGAAAAAGGCAAATTTCTCCTGAAGAAAACTCTAAAGAACAAATAGTCTGAGTAGGTTAAATATGAACACTCTATGCCTTTAAGTCTTTAGATACTTATAGTCTTTTATGTACAAAGCTTTGTGCAGTGAACTTTGAACTGATGGGAAGTCAGATTCCCAAATAGCTTGTCAGAGCTGCACCATCACCTGCACAACTATATCTGGACTTTCCTCGACTTCTCGTTCTCCCACGTGCTATTTTCTTTGTCTTCTGCTCTATGTCCTACACAAACACTGACCAATGGTTTGAATCTGCTGGGAAGAAAGCAATCCAAGTTTTATCATAGGGAAGTATTAAGGTACAAGACTTATGCTGGAACTTAGGGCTTTACATTATGATATAATTATACCCATGGCCTAATCCCGTCGCTTATATTGACTTTAGTTTTCCTAAGAGGGCTAATATTTATTCTTTTACAAAACCAGTTAAAAAAATAAATATATATAAAAATTGAGATACATTTTTGTGTTAATATTTTTGGCATCCTTCAGTTTGAAATTCACTATTGACCAGTCCTCACTTACCCAGCCACAAAAATCTTGAGCATTTGTACCTATTGCTCAAAATCAAGACGCTGGATTGGGACATGGTAAACCACCTACCTCCCACTCTCCACAAAAAGGGAACAAACAAAACATGTAATCTAGGAGTGTTTGGCAGTAGAAATTTAACTGTTGTCCTGAGTTTCTATTAGCCAGAATTACCTCTAAAAAATAGGAAATACTTGTGTCAAATCACATATTACATGCTAAGATAGATTTCATATTACTGACATTGAGTGAAATATAAAGAATTAAGAGAGGAAAAAAATAACTTCTAACTGAACCATCAGAAATGACCATTCAGTATCTTAATGTATTCCCTCCCAATTTTTTTCTCTTGTGTTATTTTTACTTAATATTATATTGTAAATATTCTTATATGAATACAAACTCTTTCAAAATAGTTATACAATAGTTCATTTCTAACTGGTCAGTAAATTATTAATCATTCTCCTATTCTTGAGTGCTTAGGTTGTTTCCAGTTTTTCACTACTATAAAAAGGCAGAGATAAACTCCTTCTATATACATTTTCCCAATATTTAAATTATTTCATTGGTCAACTCTTATACTATACACAAAAATCAACTCAAAATGGATTAAAGACTTAAATGTAAGACCTGAAACTGTAAAGCTCCTAGAAGAAAACATAGGGAAAAGCTTGATGTTGGCCTTGGCAATGGTGTTTTGGATATAACACCAAAAGCAAAGGCAACAAAAGCAAAAATAGACAAGTGAGATTACATCAAGCTAAAAAGCTCTGCATGGCAAAGGAAACAGTCCACAAAATTAAAAGGCAACCAATGAAATGGGAGAAAATATTTGCAGACCATATATCTGATAAAGGGTTAATATCCAAAATATATAAGGAACTCCTATAACTCAGTAGCAAAAAACCAAATAACTCAATTGAAAAATGGGCAGAGTTACTGAATAGAAATTTTTCTAAAGAAGACATACAAATGGCCAACAGGTATATGAAAAGGTGCTCAACATTACTAATCATCAGAGAAATGCAAATCAAAACCACAATGAGATATCACCTCATACCTGTTAGGATGAGTATTATCAACAAAACAAAAGATAACATATTTGGTGAAGATGGTGACAAAGTGAACCCTTGTACGCTGCTGGTGGGAATATAAATTGGTGCAGCCACTATGGGAAACACTATGAAGGTTCCTCAAAAAATTTAAAATAGAGTTACTATATGATCCAGAAATCCTGCTTTTCTGGGTATATATCCAAAGGAAACAAAATGATTATCTTGAAGAGATATCTGCTTTCCATGTTCTCTGCAGCATCCTTCACAATAGCCAAGACATGAAAGCAAACTAAGTGTTCATTGACAGATGAATGGATAAAGAAAACGTGGTATATATAGATGCACTGGAATATTATTCAGACTTAAAAAAGAAGGAAAGTCTACCATTTGCAACAAGGATGAACCTTGAGGACATTGTGCTAAGTAAAATAAGCCAGACACAAAAGGACAAATACTACATGATACCACTTATATGAGGAATCTAAAATAGTCAAACTCGTAGAAGCAGAGAGTAGAATGGTGGTTGCCAAGGGCTGGGAGGAGGGTATCAGTACCGGGGAACAAAGTTTTGGTTATACAAGATGAGTAAGTCCTAGAGATCTGCTGTACAGTAGTGCCTATAGTAAGCAATACTGTGCTGCATACTTAGAAATTTGCTAAGTAGATAGATCTTACTGTAAGTGATCTTATCACACACACACACACAGACAAAATAATAGATAAAAAGGATGAGTGGAAACTTTTGGAGATAATGAATGTATTCATGGCATGGGTTGTGGTGATGATTTCATGGGTGTCAACTATCTCCAAACTCATCAAGTTGTATATGTTAAATATGTACAGCTTTTGTATGTCAATTGTACCTCAATAAAGTGGTTTAAAAAATTTATTTCATTGGGAATGAGTCTCAAATACAAATTTATTACATCAGAGGCTTTTGATAGAAATTTCCATATTTCTTTCCAAAAGAATTGTACCAGCTTGCAATCCTATGAGGAAAAAATCAGTTAATCATACTCTCAAATTTATATTCAATTATGATATCTGCATTACTGATCTATGAGGCACTGTAACTGGGAGGCACTCCTGAGTTCCCTGACTCTCTGACAATAGGTTTGTTGTCAAAGTTAAGAATTTACCTTATCCCATTTCATGTTCTTTAAATTTAATTTTTACAGAATGAGAGTTATCTACACAGAACACCTCTAAATGAACTAACAGACATTCCCTGAGACCCTACTACGTATGAAGAACTGTGCCTGGTGCTATGGAAAATACAGTCCTTGCCCTCAAAGTGCTTACTCTTCAGTGGGAGTGGTGGATTATTATACTTGTCTTCCATGGCTTCTTGCTATTTTGTATTTGTTACGTTACACAGCTAATTCAAGACAGAACGTAATAAAAGCCATAGAAGAGATGCAAAGTTTAATGAGAGGACAAAACAGAGGGACACATTTGATGAGATGGGGAGACCCAATGTCAATTGCTTTGGGCTTAGTCCTTTTTCTAAAGATGAATAAAATGCTAGAGATAGAGCTTTAGGGCCTTAAGCTCCTGTTATAAAAGGCTCTGGCAGAAATAAGACTTTCTGTAGAAATTTTGGATTCTTTAAGGCATTGTGTGTGATAGAATGGTGAAGTCCTATGATTATGTTCATCATCATTTCCACTAGTATAAATACTTCCCATAGTGTTTCAAGTAGAATGGATATGCAAATCAGTGCTCTGTTTTGCAAATACTCTTGATCGCTCTGTATTTTAAGGTCTTTCCTTTCCCTATATTTAATAGAGATGAATCTGATTCTTGTGGTAGAGTCAAACAAAAGGAAAGCTGAGACCTTGGCCTACTAGGATCCTGGCTGTGTGTATGTACACTGGATAAAAAAATGAAAGATGTTCTGGTTTTATCTTAATACCATTGTCATCCTTTTTACTCCAAGTAATCTAGATATGCGTTATGCAGTATGGTCACTAGCCACTTGTAGCTAGCTATTTAAATTTACTTTTAAATAAATTATAATTAAATAAAACTTAAAACTTAGTTCCTCCATCATGCTAGCTATATGTCAACTCTTCAGTGGTTAATGTGGCCAGCAGTTACTATACTGAGTAGTGCACATGTAGAACATTCCATCATTGCAGAAAGTTCTATTGAACAATGTTGATCTAGAGTATTAGGTAGTTCTGTAGACTCACTGTCTGGGAGAAACTCACTGCTTTCCTCTACTCATACTCACAACACTACTGACACCAGATTTGGGGGTTTTCCACACCAACCAATTCTGACACTACCTGCCTGGAGTTAGCACAGACTTCAAGGTTAAGGGCTCAATCACACAAGACTGCACCCCCTGCGGATGTCAACTACAAATAGTGGTCCTCTGGGTTACCCACAACTTCTATCTGACTTGGGTACACATCTGAGATTCCCATAACCCTCTTCTTGGGTTCGATGATTTGCCAGAATGGCTCACAGAACCCAGGAAAATGGTTTACTTCCTACTGCTGATTTATTACAAAAGATATTTTAAAGGCTACAAATGAACAGCCAGATGAAGAGATACATAAGGGAAGTTCTGTAAGGGTCCTAAGCACAGGAGCTTCTGTTCCTGTGGAGTTGGGATGCAACATCTTCCTCGCACGAAGATGTGTTGACCAACCTGGAAGCTCCCTGAACCGCATACTTTAGGAATTTTTATGGAGGCTTCATCACGTAGGCATGATTGATTATTAACTCAATTTTCGGTCCCCTCCTTTGGAGAATGGGGGATGGGGCTAAAAGTCCCAAGCTTCTAATCATCGCTTGGTCTTTCTGGTGACCAGCCCCCATTTGGGAGCCTACCAAGAGTTGCCTCATTAGAACAAAAGATGCTCCCATCACCCAGGAAATCCAAGGGATTTAGGAGTTATATGTCAGATGCTCCCATCACTCAGGAAATTACAAGAGTTTAAGGAGCTCTGTGTCAGGAATGGGAGTCAAAGACTACATATTAGCAGGAAGCAGGGGCAGAAACCAAAATATATACTGCTTATTATTTCGCTCATGAAATCCAGCTGTACAGTTGGCCAATATTTGCAGATTTTGAAATTAGAGATGAAAGACCCAACTTGCTGGATATGAGGGAAGGGTACATGGTTCTGTTTTCTAGGATGTAGTTTTCTTTGAACATCAACTATTTTCAGAGCATCTTCTCTAAAATGTGATCTTGAATAAAGACAAAGAAAAGAGAAACCCTGAACATTAAGAGTTCTAAGTCTGTGAAATTTTTTGGTTATAGATAGAATGATTGTATGTCCCAATTTATCTGGGCAGTTACAGTTTGCACCTATTTTCTCAGTGCATAGTTATTATGAGTTTTCCATTTCACTCTCAAAGTGTCCCAGTTGGGATGATAAATTATTGATCACCCTGGGCCGGCCTGGTGGCCCAGTGGTTAAGTTCGTGCACTTTGCTTTGGCAGCCCGGGGTTCGCAGGTTTGGATCCTGGACACATACCAATACATCACTCATCAAGCCACGCTGTGGCGGCATTCTACATAAAATAGAGGAAGACTGGCACAGATGTTAGCTCAGGGACAATCTTCCTCATCAAAAAAAAAATTATATGGTTACCCTATTGATAGTTTCATTTCCTTCTTCCTCATTGACACTTTGTAGATGGGAAAAACAAAGCCCTCTAAATGATAGTTTCCCGAAACCAGCGTTGCCCAGGTCACATTCAGATCTATGTGCTCACAGACTGTAAAGTTGCTTCCCATGTATTTACTCACTTACTTGTAAGTACTTACTTGTCAAAATACTTGTGGCAAAGTTTCACAGGTGACCCTTGGACTTAAGTTATTCTCTTATGAATGACCAATCAGAACACGGTTTAACTGGAATGTAGGAAATATGAGAATGACTTAAGGAGATGTAAACTGCATTAAATATTTGCATTTATTTGTTTCTGCATCAACAGGTTTCCATAAGTAGGATGAGGAAAAAGAGGCTTGATGTTGAAAGAAACGCAGAAATAGAACAAAATATTTAGTGGAAAGAGAACTGATCTGGGAGGCAGAATATGTGAGTTCCTTGCTAGTTTAGCCATGCATATGAACTTGGGTTTCCCCTTTTTTTGTCTGGTCCCCGTAGATTTCAGTTTTCTAGACAGAAAGTATGATGTAAATTTAAAGCATTCTTCATCTGAGCCAGTCTGGACTTCTGAACTTCCTTCAGCTCCTGAAATATACCCGTCTCTCATTTCCTGGACTTTGCACATTTCCTTCATTCTTTCTCAGCATATCACTTCCTCATGGTTGTCTTCTCTGATCCCCTGAATCAGGGCAAGTGATCTCTTGGTCTCTATACCTCATCAAAGCTCTGAGGTTTGGGGCTGGCTCCGTGGCCGAGTGGTTAAGTTCATGCACTTTGCTTCAGTGGCCCGGGATTCCCCAGTTTGGATTCTGAGTGCAGACCTACACACCACTCATCAAGCCATACTGTGGCAGCATCCCACATAGAAGAACTAAAATGACTTACAACTAGGACATACAACTATGTACTGGGGCTTTGGGGAGATTAAAAAAAAAAGAGGAAGATTGGCAACAGATATCAGCTCAGGGCCAATCTTCCTCACCAGAAAAACGTTGCTTTAAAAAAAAAAAAGCACTGAGCTTTAATTTTCTATTAACTTGTCAAAATTCCCCTTGAAACTTTCAGCTCTATGAGAATAAAAGCTATATCTGCCTTATTCATTTTATACCCCCAGTACTAGAACAGAATCCATATAGTTGATGTTCACTTATATTTGTGGAATGAATAAATAAATGAATAAGCGAGGCTGTGTGCAAGTCTTTCCATCTAAGGATGTAGAACCAAGGAAGACATGATTCTCATCCCAAAAGAACACATAGTTAAAACCAAACTAGAATGACTGTAATAAAGGCAAAATAAGTTTCACAGAATTCAGAAGGAAATGACAACACATCAGAGATTTAAAAAAAAAAAAAGGCTTCTTAAAATAGGAATCATTTGAGATAGGCCTCAAAGAAAGGCTAGAACTTCAACAGGAAGAGATAATAAATATGCAGTTAACATATTGTAAACCTATTAGGCATAGGAAGGTATTATTTTAGGCACTCAGTAGGAAGACGAATAAGACATGGGTCCTGCCTTAAAGGGGCCAGTGATCTAACTGAGAAACATATAGACATACTAAAAGCTATGGTACAAGCCAAATGTATTCCATGCTAAAATTAACAGTGTAGATAGGGTGCCTTGGGAGCTCAGAGGGAGGGGTTCAGGGAGAGCAGAGAGACAGAGGAGGGATCAGTTCTTACTGGATATGTCTCTTTCACTAGGGTGGAGAACAGTAGAGCAAAGCCCTGCCGCTGTGGGTTTTAATGAACTTCTTGGAACTTATCTTTGTTTCTCTGGTTGCTTAGCAACTCTCATTCTGGCTCATGAGATGGTCACCACTGGGAACAATTTTTTTTAAGGCTAAACTTTAAATCGCCCATTTACGCATAGACCACACTTGTAAAACTTCCCTCCAGATAATTACCTATTTGTGCAATGACCTTGGTCGTGTTGAGAGCATTTCACCCAAATTTTACCTTTCCTTTATGTTTGCCACACCCTCATGGGGTAATCACCGGACTCTTAACTTCAGCAACTCCCAGGGACATTTTGAGCTGGTTCCTTCCAAAGAGATCTGTGACTGGTTAGAATGTACCTCAGGTGAGATCTATTTATTTCCCCTTTCCCTCTTCGACTCTCACTTTGGGAATTCTAGGCCGTGCTGCTCTGCAGAGTCCCTGTGGTGTATGTGCCAAATGGCCACCTCAGCCCTTGGGATGCTCCAAGCTGGCTCAGCAGCAGCCTGAGGGAGAGAAGCAGTTTTTTGTCTTCAGTTATCTGGAAACTGATACGTGAATTCTAACTGCCATGGATGCAAACACACCATGTCTGTGTGACTGCCTGGGGGATGGCAGTGTCAACGTCAAGTGCAACTGCTGACATCACAAATTTGAGGATCCCCTGAGTCAGCAGCATGGCATTTAGTTAATGATCTCTACTGCAGACCACTGAAAGATATAATGCCAGTATTAACTAACAGCTTCCATAACATCTTTGGATACATTAAGGCCTATAAACTGTTCTGCAGTTTATAGAATTCCGCGCTCCCCCCCCCAAACACACATATTCCTGGAAAAATGGGAAAGTTGTCAGGGAACTTATTTTTTCTTGGCAGGGAGTGTCTTCAAGGGAGAAGAAACATTGCTAAATTACCAATGGATCTAGAACTACAGAATGGTATAATGTGATGATAAGATCATCTCTAAATATCTCTAAATGTCCTAATCCATTTACTCCTCATAAAGGAGAGTAATGCAATTTACATAAACACCAGGTGATGGCCATTTATCCATGCTCTCAGCGCCAAATGACTTTGGAACCTCTCCCTGTTCCACAACAAATTATCTTTGCAGATGAATTTTGTTGTAAAATCTAGAAGTGTTTAGAGCAGGAGGGAAACTATAGATGCTAAAGACACAAAAACATTCACTTTCTTGCTAATTTAAGCAAAGCTGATGCAGAGTCAAAATATAAAATATTTCAGAGCAGAAATAGCATCCTCTCTCTGTCTCTGGGATGCCCGCATGTGACCAGCCCACCCAAAGATAACTATGCTGAGCAAGTCCTTTGTCGTTTGTAAACCAGATGAAAATCTGTGGGGAAAACATCTTTCCCATCGAAAAAAATGTTGTGACTTTTATGGCTAATTCATGGGGAGGGTTTGATTTTTATTTATAGTTCTTTAAAACAGATGCGCCAATATCCAAAAGAGGATGAGTAAGCAGAAATAAATACCTCGTAGGAGGGAACTAAAAGGAAAAAAACCCCATATGTGTTTGTATAAATGCTTTATGAAGCTATATTTTGCAGTCAGCAGTCTTCTGCCAGAAAGAGAAAGCTGAGAATCTGGTCACTATTGACTCTGAGACACAAGGAAACAACTGACCAAATGCCACATCCTTCCTTTTCACTGATTCAGTTACCATTTTCTCTCAAATGGAAATATCTTACTGTGCATCTGAGAAATCCCTTATCACAATATTTAAAGTGCAAAGCTCTGGAGAGGGCAGATTCTGACTAGAAACAGTCACGCTCCTCTAAACAAACTCTCACAGTGGCTCAGTTGATGCTAAACCTCGTGAGTTCTGGGCACCCGTATGCCTCTGGGGCCTGCCAATAATTTTACAGGAAAGAAATATGAGTTACTGGTGAAGGTGAGGAGGGACGCACATGAGCTCCCTGTTGCTTCAGGGAAAGTGCTTACAAAGTGTGCTATGCTGGATGCACATCACACCCATCTGAATAACTCACACCTCTAAGTGGTTTCTTTGTTAGAACTGAGAAAAGATAAAAGAGGAAGATAAAAGACATGTACAGATAAGAACCAAGATACCACTGAGACCACCGCCTGCAATCATTGTTCTGGGAGTAAGAGAGAATTCACAGGTATTCTCTATTGGACAGGTCATCATTCTGTTTTTTCAAATTCCTTTCGTGCTTTACACCCTTAGAATTCCCCTTCCCTGTGTCCACCACATTTTGAAATCGCGTATGGTTGAAATATTCCTTTCCTGTATATTTCTTTTTAACATCTGAAGAGCAGGCCTTTTGGCAGGCTTGTTCCTGCCACAGCTTCACATGGGGACAGGCTCTTGTGAAGAATGAAGAGAAACGTCTGATCTTAATTCCCAACTCTGGACGAAGACACTGCTGGGTGTCTTAAGATGCCTTTGGCTGAGCTCCAGGTGTAACCAGATGAAGAGGAGATGGAAAAGCTGTTTATCATTATGTTTCTAGTGTCACAAAGACAAGTTTTTGCTTTCTTCTGAATTCCCCTCAGAAGAAAAAACTGTTTTTCACCTGAGTTTTAAGCATCAACAGAACTCAGTAAATGTGAGATAATCGTGTCAATTACAGTAATCCCCTTCCACCAATCCTGCTGACCTGCGGGAGGACCATGTCCCTTCTGTTCCATCCTTTGCTGGGCTAATATGGATCTTGAAAAATTACAATATTCCAAATTCTTGGGCATGCTCAATGGAAAGAGGCAATTAGTAAGTGTAAAGTTCATGGCCAAAATCCCTCCTCCTCCACAAAGCCTTCCAGCTAATATAGCCTCTCTTGGCCCGGAATTCCCATACATGGCACAGACCTTTAACCAAAACAGCTCTGACTGTCCACTTAGTTATTCTCACTGAGTCTTGTCTCCCGATGTGGATTTTGGATTGTTAGAGGGTGGAGGCCTTGTTTTAGCTTTCCTTTTATTTCCTAGTAACATCTGCTTTAATAAGCCTATGTAAGCACTCATCACATACTTGCTTAATTAATGAATGATTCTTCCTTCCTTCTTCTCTTCCATCAGTCCCATCAGATTAAATTGATTCCCACAACATTTTACACTCTAGAGTCTGTGGGGACTGGAATTGGCCACCCCAAGATATGTCTCTTTGTCATGAGGATTATTTGAGGCTGATTGCTTTTGATAAACTGGGACAGGGAAGGAGGCTCTGAGGAGTGGAACTTGCTTGCCCTTTGTTAGGAGACATTTACATTTGTAAGGTAAATCTCTATCTGTAAAAGGTGCCTCCCTCTCTGTAGCAGGAAGAAGAAAGGAGATGACCTTCTCTCTAGAAACTCTTAATCAATGCCAAAGGCAAGGACTTAAATTTGCATTTTATTGTGCTTGTCGGGTAACCTCCTATAACTGACTTCCCTCCCTCTCCCAACATTGGCATTTCTTTAAGGATTAAGCCTCTTTCCTTAGGCTAGGAACTGATTGCTGCGCTCACCTGTGACCACCCAGCTCAAGACAATAGACTTGCCTCCTGCTAAGCCAGCCGAGATAGCAGACCACTATCTGCTGTGTCCATCAAGCGCTGTGCTGACAGGGCAATCTTGTGACTATTGTGGGAGGGACATTTCAATCATATGTAAAATATCCTGTTTGGGGGTATATAACCACTCTGTGCACCCCACTTCTTTGGTGCCCTTTCTTCCTTCGGGAAGAAAGGCCCCAGGCCATGGTCCTCATAAAGCTTTGTTTAATTTTCCCTTGCTATTCTGTCTCATGTGAATTTAATTCGTTCTCTGGCCAGACAAACCCACATTGGATAGAGGAAATGTCTTCCTCCCCTACAAGTCCAACCAGTTTTTGTGTTTCTGGCTGTTAATCTCCATAAGGCTCACTGTGGTAAAATCAAACAGGTGTCATCTGGGAAGAACCAGCCAGGAATATTCTTTTTTTCTTTTTTTTTTAGGAAGATTAGCCCTGAGCTAACATCTGCTGCCAATCCTCCTCTTTTTGCTCAAGAAAACTGACCCTGAGCTAACATCTGTGCCCATCTTCCTCTACTTTATATGTGGGACGCCTGCCACAGCATAGCTTGCCAAGTGGTGCGTAGGTCCGCACCCAGGATCTGAACCAGCAAACCCTGGGCTGCTAAAGCAGAATGTGTGCACTGCACTTAACCGCTGCGCCACTGGGCTGGCCCCAGAAATATTCTTAACATTAGACCATTGGTTCTCACCACTCTCATTCTTCAACCTGGCAGTGACCTTCAGAGGAAGGGAGGGGACAGAACTTATTTCCCACTACAGTGTCATTGAAAACAAAGTGAAGCAGATAATACAGTGAATTACATACATTAAGATTAAAGTTGGAATTAAAAGCTTTATTCAATGATGCTATTCCCATGTCATTTTGATTGCAGTCCTAAAAGTCACTCCCATTTATAAACTGAAAAGAAATCTGGTCAAAAAAGTCAACTATGACCAATTCTATGGAGACCGGATGTAAGTAATGTTTTCCCTAAGTGCACCTCATGTATTCACTGTTCATATCCCACTCCCAATTCCATTGTTTTCTCCGCCACAAATTGGCGAGTTCTCTACTGTTATTCCTGACTTCAAAAAAAACTTCTGTTATAAACAAATGGAGCTGGATAACTTTTCCCCTGTGAGGCAAAACGCCTTTAAGAAGATGCAGAAAACCAGTGATAATTGACACAAATAAATTGTTAATGATGGAAATTCAAGCGTTAGCCCAGTCCCGATGAAAAAAAGTCTGTTTTCTTAATTTAAGGTAAGCAAATACTGACAGTGAATATTAACGAGGGCTGCTTTAACTGTACTAAAGCGTCTCTCGCAGAAACGTCGTCAAATATCGTACAAATCACTAAACATTGTTTTATTTTGAAAGGGAGAGCTCATCTCACGCAGCTGTTTGGTGATCTAGTATCCCGGTATAAAAACAGCTGAAGGTCAGCAATGGCTCTTTCCTGAGGCTGTGATGATAGTTTCACTTTAGAGGTCTGGGTTTGCCTGGAAAAAAACAGCGGAATCCATTAGTAAAAGGAAATGCAGCACTTCTAATCTTTTATTTTGTAAGAGACTTTTCCAATAGGCCTACGGCCAGCCAAGTGGCTCTGCTCCTCCCCATCCACCTTCTGCTGGAGACTCACATTTCGGTTGTTTCTGCTGCCCTATACTGACCCCTCGTTAAACTCCGTGCACTTTAATTTTGGCCAAAGTGTGAACACAAACTCGTTTCTTTGTGTCCCCCTTAGCATGGCTAAGACAGATGGGAACTTTCACGAAAGCTTTTCTAAATACCAATTAAAACAAACAAACAAACAAATGAACATAAAATATATAAATATGTGAAAACTCTGTGGCGTATAAACTACAATTTTCTAATTTTATGTGTGCTGGTGTGCACTCAGGGCTTGTAGACCTTGTCCTATTTTTTGTCCTGAGATGGTTTTACTTAACCCTAAATGGGTGACACAAACTTACTTCCACCTGTGTTCTGACTTCCAAAGTACTGTTCCGAAGTTCCTATGGAGAAAATCAGCTGAACACCCTGAATCTCCTTCTAGACGTCTTGGCTCCATTGTGGTCAAGATCAAGAAAGAGAGACTTCCACTCAATCACCAGGGCTCCCTTCCCCCGTCCTCTCCCCTCTAGCACCAACAGGGCCTCCTTCTATGTTCTGAGCAGAGAAACACGTATTTTAGTCAAATGATTAACGTCATGAACAACCAGGCTTTTCAGGTGAGATTCTCCCACTCCCACACACCCAGCTGCACACACAAGATGCCTTCATTCTTAGAGGTTCAATAATGTAAAATGCCTTAAGTGATTTATTAACCTAACATTCCCACGTCCATACAATGAGAGTGGGTGAGGAGATGGGGGCAGCTCCGGAGCAGTACCTTGCCCCATAAAAATCAGGATAAGTTATCCCCTACTCCCGAATTAACATTGGAAACTACTAAATTTTCCTTTCCCAGTAGCTCATCAGTGGGCTTATGTCATTAAAGTGCTTATTGAAGCAAAAAGGCTGGATGACTTTTCCACCGTTTTACTTTTTATATAAAATGACTACTACTCATTTATTTGTGTAGGATTTCCATGACTAAAGTCTTTCCTTTACTCTGTTCTTGTGAGGTCAGCTTGCCCAAACCTCCCCAGGACCCTGACTTTGTTTGATAAGGTTTCACGAGCCTTTGCAAAGAAAAGACATGTGGAGTCAGTTGGGAGAAACTGGGCTTGCAACAGATAAGCTCAAGTTCCCAAAATAGAGAATTAGATATTTGGTCATTATTGAGAGTTTGTCATTCTAAGTTCAGTCATTCCTACTGCATGACAAATATCAGGAAGCTAATGAGTAGGAAAAGGAATCTGCAAAACCTTCCTCCTCTTTAAAAACAATGGTGAATGAGCTGGGATAAAAGGCTCCACTTCTCGTGTCTGGCCTCTGAAGCCTGAGAAAAGCAGGATATGGGCTCAGACCTGTTGATCCCACTGAGTTCATAAACATGGGCTCAGACAAAAACAAAGTTTTTTCTGTTCATTGAAAAGGGAAACAGCTCTAGAAAACATTTATTACTCAGCTCTTGAATAGCTAATCAAATTCAGGAGTGTTTATTTGGGAAAAACTATGCATACATTAATCAATATATCAACTTGGGATCTCCCTGCCTCCCACCTCAAACCCTCTTAATCAACAGGATTTGTTCTAGCTTGTTCTTCCCAGCCCCTGTACCAAGTTTTGTTCCCAGCCTGTTACTTAAGCCTTAAGTTTCCTCCATCCCTGCTATTTACTCCTACTGCCTAAAAATAACAATTGAAAAACCCAGACAAACCAAAACCATCACCCCTACTTTCCTTTCAAAATAACCCAAGTGACTGCAATGTTGTTCTCCACCATCAGACTTTCCTACAAGCCCCACATCCACACCTGGACTAGTCGAACAGGTTCAGTGCTGATCCCTCTTTGCTTTCTTTAGTCATGCCCAGCAACCTTTTCTTGTGTAATCCTCACCTTCTACTCCTACTTGTTTACGATGCAAGAGGAATTCTTATCCTGTTGTGTCTCTCAGCCCACCTATTTTACTAAGTCTTTCCAAACCTTGATCCTTACATTTACTTACTTACAGAATGTAAACCCACTGTCCAGATAGCTTTTGTCGATGGCATTTGCTCTCCCATTTTTCTTCTCCATCCAGCTTCCTGTTATTATCACTCATTTAATGGAATAATCCTTTTAAAACGTCTTCTAGGTGTCAGGTCTGTTTGTATCCACTGTGTTAGCCTCTGACACCTTCATGTCCCAATTCTTGTTTCTCAGCTCAGCCGATCTTTATTGTCTCTGCACTTCCCACCAGTACATCTGTACTCTCACCCGAATCATCTCAAAACCCTTGAGTTCTAGCTCCATATTCTCTTATTGAACCATTTCCTTGCTTCTTTCTGTCTTTACCCACACATTTCATTTTCCCACAACCTTTGAACCAGCTTTTGACTGTCACCAGAATCTCTGGTGTCTCAATCTTTTTTTCACTTATTCTGTCATAATTACACAATTCCCAATTTAACTCTGAATCCAGATATTTCATTAGTTCCCTATAACCCATCCACTCATTCATTCTTCCAACATATATATTTTGAACATTCACCATGTGCTAAGCGCTGGGATATGACTGAGGAAGAAAAGGGACATGGCATCTGCCTTCATGGAATTTGCAGGCTAACAAAAAAGACATATTAAACAAGCAAATGGACAAATAAATACATAATTACAAAATAACAAATCACAAATTAATATCTGTGAAAGGTACTAAGAGAGAATAATGAGGGACTTAACTTAGATTGGGAGGGTCATGGAAATGCTCTCCCTAGCATTGACATTTATGCTAAGTAAGGGATGAGAGATGAGGAGGAATAACATGTATGTAGGGCCTGAGGTGGGAAAGTGTCGAGCGTATTTGAGGAAAGGTCAGTATGTCAAGAGCATGCAAGCAAGTGGCTCCGAATGAAGTTGGAGGGTTATATGTGATTCTGATTATATAAGATCTTGTAGACCATGTTATGTTGTTTGGAATTTGTTCCAGGTGAAATGGAAAGTCATTAGCGGTTTTAAGCAGCACATTAATGCCCACAGTTCACAATATAGAGTCATTAATCCCATAAATGGGTACTGAACTGGTTACCAACTTGTGTTTATTTACATCTAATTCTAATTTTAGTCTCATCAGTTCTTTCATAAACTGTTGGAATAGCTTTGTAAGTAGTTTCCTTCTGTCCATCTGTCTCATAGAATCTATCTTCTTGGCAGGAACTAGAATAATCTTTCTAAATTGCATATTTGGTCATATTATTTCCCTTTTTAAAATCGTTTAGTGATTCTCTGTAACCTATAGAGTAAATTCCAAACCTCTCACATGATTAGAAGTCGTTTATTGTGGCATCTTTTCAAGTTTATTTTCTGACATGCCCCACCCCCAAATTTCACATTTCATTCCAGTCATGCCAAAATGCTTGTACATCCATCTACATATCACAGTGCTCTGTGCTTATTGCCCTCTCTTGGTGGGACACCTACTTCTGCCCACTCCCTTCCAGGGTAATTGACAAACCCCTACATATCCATAGAAACATCTCGGAAGCCTGTTTTTCACTTTTTAGAATGCGTTAAGTATTTTCTACTATGTATGTCACGCCACAACAAACATCCAATATAACCGTGACAAGACTGGAGCACATCTGGGGATGGGCAGCTGGTTCACCACCATTCAACTGCACGAGGTATTAGCTCTGACCGGGGTGATGGCTGGATGGCTCTTAGAGCTATGAGGTTTCTGAGCATCCTGGACCGGAATGTGACATGTGGGTGCTTTAATAACTGGTCCCACCTTAAGTTGTTTAAATTGCAGTTGAATATTTATTAGTAAAATGGGAAGAAGATGACTTCTAGTAGTAAAAAATGTATGTCAAAATTATGTTCAAATTTATAATACAGGATTCATGATATCATCATTAGCATTATCATCTTCATAGCTAATATTTATTATTTACAGTATATCACACACTGTAATAAGTATGTTATATTTATTATTTCATTTAGCCTTAAACTATTTGATTCTGCTCTTACCATCTTATTTAAGTTACACCCCCACCCACCCCTGCCATTTCCAATCACCCTACCCTCTACACTTTCTCTTCTTTTCCATAGTAACTGTGTACTATACTATCTACTTGTTTATTGTGCTCACTATTCATTGCCTGCCTTTTCTTTCCAGAATATAAATTCTACAAGGCAGCAAACTTTGTTTTTATTCACCTCATTTTAGAAGCACATAGTAGGTGTTCTATAAATATTTGTTTCTTGAGTAGCCATCACCCGATGAGGTAAATAATATTTTTTAAATCTTCATTTTACAAATAAGGAAATTGAGACACAAAGAGGTTAGGATACACAGCAGGTCAATGGAAGACCCAGGATTTGAATTGATAGTAGATTCCAGAGTTTACATTCTTAACATTGTACAGAATGTAACATGGCAATTTTATTTGGAATTATTTTTCATTTAAAAATTATCATCAGTCATGCTCACAAAGGCTACTGGTCACTTTTAGGGATATAATTATAGAAAATAATAGGAGAAATTCCAACTAAATTGGAATCGAGAAGGCCTGTAGAAGGAACTATCATGCCCTATCATGTATCGCCAATTAAACCAAACAGGAAGAGACGTCTGGCTTGCATCTCTGACTGGAAACAAAACTACTTTACTACTGAAGGAAGATTTCTCTCCTCAGACAGCAATAGCCCAGCCAATGAGAAACATCACAGCTCAGGCAATAAGAGGTCATTGCTACCCTGAACTGTTACTTTCCCCCTATGGACTTTCCTTGACAACAGCCCCTCCCTATTCCTCCTTTTTCTCTATAAAGCATCTCCCCTCCTTTGTTTTCTGGATTCAGAAACATGCCATGGTCTGTCATAGCATGCACATTCCGAATTGCAATTCTTTGGGCTGTTCCTGAATAAATTCATTTTGAAGTAAAACAACAGGCAAATTTGCTTTTAGGTTGACACAGTCATCAAATATTGTTTGAAGTATTTTCAGAAGACTTTTTATTTCGGGCTTTCATGTTCCCCAATGTGTTTCTTTCTTTAACATTGTTCATGTTCTCTTTTTAGGTTTTAGGGGGTTTTTTTATTCGTATTTTCCAAACCAGGAAACTTATCTGGAAGTCTATTTTGAGTGTTTAAATTTAGATAATAAATTAAACCACTTGTTCTGGGCAACAGTGTTACATCATGCTTTCTGTGGTTTCAGAATCTAACTGCCAACAACAAGGGATTGTCAGCCGACTGGTTCTTTCAGATGGTTGATGTCACTGCTTTTAGTAGCATGTATTCAAATCTCACAGACATCTCTGCAGAGACATGACACAAGAAGGGCTGGTGAGTTCACTTTTTTCTAGATGATGTCAGCATATAGATGAGCAGGGATTGGACTAATTTGCATTTTCTCACCTAAAGAAAAACACGCTCCTCCTGTGTTTCCTCTACTCTTAATACTTCACTACAGCACTACTTCACTTTTGACACGACACTATCTAGTGTCAGGGATAGTGTCAGATGCCACAAGTTAAGGGCTCAGTCCTACAAGACTTCCCCCTGCCTCTACTTGGAAGCCAATCATAAGTCCAGGTTGTCACCGGTGCTTCTGACCAATTGGCTATAAATGGGAGGTTCCCCCGACCCCCTCTTCAGGTTCCATTAATTTGCTAGAGCGGCTCACAGAACTCAGGAAAGCATTTACTTACTTCATTACCAGTTTATTATAAAATGATATAACTCAGGAACAGCTAGATGCAAGAGATGCATAGTGCAAGGTATGTGGGAAGGGGAGCTTCCATGCCCTCTCTGGGCTGCCACGCTCCCTGCATCTCTATGTGTTCACCAACCTGGAAGCTCTCGTAACTCACCCTTTTGTGTTTTTTTTTTTGATGGTGGGTTCATTACATAGGTATGCTTGATTAAATCTTTGGCCATTGATGATTGAACTCAATCTCCAGCTCCTTTCCCCTTCCCTGAGTTTGGGAGGTGGGGCTAAAAGTTCCAACCCTCTAATTACGTGGTTGGTTCCCCTGGCAACCAGCCCCCAGCCTTAGAGACTTTCTGAGTTACCTTACTAACGCAAAGGGAGCTTGTTATGACTAACTAGACGCTGATTTCACCTTTATAGCTCTGAAGCCATTTCAGGAACTGAAGGCATCAGACCAAATATTATAACAAAAAATGTTCCCATTGTTCTTATTGCTTAGGAAATTCCAAAGTTTTTGGGAATTGTGTGCTAGGAATGTGAACAAAGACCAAAATATATATGTATTATAAATCACATTATCAGAATGATGCTATATACGTGAGCAGGAATTAGACTAACTTGCATTTTTCGTACAGAATTGTTCATCATGATTTCTTTTGCAATAATTTTTATTTTTAAAAACATTATAATACAATATTATTTATCTTCATTGTTGAGTTCTTGGTGTCCCCTTAAATTTCATGCCCGAGATGAGTGCCTCCCTTGCCTCACCCTGGTCCCAGACTGTGGCTCAGGGTGCTGCAAGAAGAGACGTCTATTGTGGACTCACCCTGGTTGTATTTTGCATATGCACAAAAAAGAGAGTAGATGAATTTACTGACTTGGCTCCTCTCCTTCAGCTTCTGAGTAACTAAATGAACATGTTTTGTACTTTTCTTTGGCCTTTTGGAGAATGCGCCTGTTAACCTAAGAATAAAGAGTCAAAATGAGAGTCAGTGAGGTGTTTATTTTGGGATCAAAGAATTGCAATTTGGGGAGCATGGATTCAGGTAGAAACCCAAATAGTGTCCCAATTACAGGAGAGGAGCTTAGGGCTTTTATGGGAAAAAGGGGGGATGAGGTGATGTTACCGAACCAAGTTTGTTTTGCTTGCCGCATGATTATGCCAATCACCAAGACGTCAAGTTTGCAAAGGGAAAGGATTTAATCACAAGGTGGCCAACTGAGGAGGCGGGAGAATCAATCTCGGATCCACCTCCCCGAAAATGGAGACTCATAGATATTTATGGGATAAGAGGTCAGGGTCGTCTACAGTATAGGAATAGGTGATTGGAGGTAAGGAGAAGTGAGGTAATTGATGACCTGTACAAGTGTAGTCAAGCTTCATGCTTCTTCACAGGGTGCATGTTCACAAAATGAAGGCATTGCTATGATCTGAGGGGGAGTTTTTAGCTCCTTTACCTCAAAAAGGTCACTTGTCAAGCATTTGAGCAGGCCCATTTGGTGGGTTGGTGATCTCAACCGGCCTGAACTGGACAAGGTGACAACTCTCAGTTCCTGAAAAGCTCAAGCACTTCACCCATTACTGTGGTGACCCAAGCCTCAGAGATATTACCTATAGGGTGGATTTTAGGAACACATTATCCAACTAGTTCTGCAAACAAACAACCGAGTTAAGTTAAAGCAAGTTGGCCCCTGGTTTCTGAGTTGTAATTAAAGAAGAGTTAATTTGTGCCAGACAAGGTAAGGCTAGGTTTGTACTTCAGGCAAAATGCCAGACTCGTACTTCATTGATCGGATAGCAATTGCTCATCGGCAAAGTCCGGTTTCATCTGTCCTTTCAAACAGGATATTCTTGTTCTTACTGACTTCTTAGAATGTTAGTGATTTGGTCCAGTTTGGAAGATAAAGAGAACAAGACCTGCAAGGCAATTCCTCTGAAATGGCTACTCCAGCTCCATTTTAATATGGCTCTACTCGTGTCATCTTCCACACTCTGAAGGTCTTCCAGAAAGATCTATCATGTATTTACATCAAGCTGAGGTTTTGGTGGCTTTCACTGGTTTGGTGAAGTATAAATGATGAAAGAGTACGTTATATAAAATGGATGTGTTCTGAGTGAGAGGATAAAGATGATGTAGAAAAAAACAATGTGCTGGCAAATTGATATCCAATTATCATTGCCTGCATTGTGGGTAAGTATAAGGAATTATTGCAGGATCAGTTTGATACATTTTATCTGACCCTGTTCAGTGAACACAGAAGTAGAGAGCACTGAAGAGAGCTTTTAAAAGGAAGCTTGATATAAATTTTGAGCCTCAGGAGGTGAAGACATGCAAATAGCAAGGTGACCCCTGGGAGCCGAATGAACTGTGCCTGGAAGAACTTGAAGTTTGATTTTAAGTTAGTTGCAGAGAGGGAGGCACCTTTTACAGATAGAGATTTACCTTACAAACGTAAATGTGTCCTAACAAAGGGCAAGTTCCATTCCTCAGAGCCTCCTTCCCTGTCCCAGTTTATCAAAAGCAATCAGCTTCAAATAATCCTGATGCCAAAGAGACATATCTTGGGGTGGCCAATTCCAGGTCCCCACAGTATATTTATCCTTCAACTGACTGACAGTATCTTAATATAAAGCTCATAAAAAGACTTTTCATCCTGAGTTACATCTAGACTACCTACCTATATTTAACAGAGAATGTTCAATAGGGACTATAAATCTGAATGACTTGCTTCCTGTGCATTACCATCATTGTTCCTATGATTAGATGTGGCATTCAGGGATACTAAAAATTACATTGCAAGAGGCATTCACCTATTTGGACTTGCATCTGACAAAGCTAAAGAGCAAATTGTGGTCAAATACTGAGGCTACTAGGTGCATCTCTGGTACTACACCACTAAAATGGCATTGTAGGGCTGGAAGGAGAATTGCTCTGTTATGAAATCTAATGTGGTCTTTTTGGAAAACATGGGCAGGGATAGGTGCATGCATTCCTGGCTTGTCACAGTTGGTGGGGAATTGAAGGATGTCAGTTGTAGGCACATCACCAGAGACCACGGGACCCAGCTCAGCATCTTTGAAGTGCACCTTAATTGCTTGGATTATCCCTAGACAGGTTCTGAGTAAACAGTTATCAAATATTGTTTATCATGGTCCTCTTTACTTTGGTAGAAATAAAAAGTAATAGCATTAGCTAAGCCCCCCATGTTAGACATGCCCCCAAATAGTATTCAGACCCATTCTGTGATCTTTGGGAGCAGGATTTTAGGTTTCATTTGGATGCCCACTAATTTCTTCCACTTTCTACATCAGGCAGGATACTAGAAACAACATCTCTTCCAATCATCCCCAAAACCCATATTACTCATAAAAGATAGTGTAGGGAGCAGAATTGGACACCCCAAAATGTGTCTCTTTGCCTTGCCTTGATTATTTTTAAGAATGAAAGGTTCTGAAAGAAACTTTGAAGCAACTGTCTTTGTCTTGCAAATGTCTGCAAGGCTGGAAGTAGGGTTCTAGAAGACAGTTCAAAGTTCACTTGTCTTTTGCCAACCCCTGTTCCTCCCAAAATGCTCTTAGATACTGATTGAGACAAAAGATTCAGACATTAGAAACTGATAGGGCAAATACGCCCCAGAAACTCCATCTTGAAGAAAACCTGACTGCTTTCTCTGTGTCTTTATGATGTAGATATTCTGCTCCTATCTTCTCTAGGATCTAAAATTCATTCTTTGAAATTCAAATGTTTCTCAGAAACTAGTGGTTTTTATATTGGACCTGATTCATAACAAAAATTTCATGTCTCTGTCTGTGTCTACCTGTATGTTTATGTGTCTTATACATGTGTGATATTTTACCTCCAGATGGTATAGCCAAAATTAAGAGCTCTGTTTAATTGGCTTAAAGTAAGTGCTTACATTATTTCTAAATGTAACAGAAACTAAACCAAACGTCATTCAAGTTAATATGATAAAATTAATCTTTGGTAACTAAAAACTTATTTAAGTTTGTAGGATTGATTAAAATAAACATGTCCTCACAGTTATCAGCATTGGATATGATGCAGACATGCAGCCTGGGTTTACAAGTTAAAAAAAGCTCATTTATATCTAAAGGCTTTAAAATGGAGCCTGGAGGCCATTAAGGAAATGGGCCTTATGCACAATGTCCTCATCTGGCAGAACATGGACTTTTGAACCGAGTTAAGACACAAATATTTTGAGAAAGCTGCAAGAAGCTTGAAACTCGTCACAGTGAGGGACTTTTGCCTCCCTCTAGCAATAGCCTTAGAAATCAATTATGTTTATCCAAGACTAGCTTTCTGCCGCCAACCCCAGTTAACATTCTTTGCCATGAAAACCTCCCTTCTTTACCTTTGAAAGCCTTTGACTTTTACTCCCTAGTGGGACACTATTTGCATTTCAACCTGAATATGTGCTCCCCTAATAGGAATTCTTTGATTCAAAATAAACGCTTTACCTCTTAAACTGGTTT